AAATTCACCCMAAAAGCCACATTTGTCAGATTAGGGCTGGTTTGATTATTCCCTCTCCTTCTCCCCCAATTTTTAATACGAGAGAGGTTGGAAGAGGATCCTGCTGGCTGAGTTTGTTTGGGGTTTTGTAGGTTTTTTCTGTAGGTTTTTTGCAGGTTTTTGTGGCTGTATTTTCACCACAAAAAATCAGAGAGCAATTCAGAGTGGCACCAGAGAAGCGTTTTGTTGTATTCAGGAGAAACATGAACAGTGTGAAATGAAAAATACACRTTTTACAGGATAAAAAGAGAGAAGCAGCAGCAAGCAGATGTCAAGCTCAACAAATCTTCAACCAAAGRAAGAGAAAAAAGGAGCAGTGAGATGAACACAAGCCATGGTAAATCACTGCCCTCCCTGTCTATGGTGGTTCCTAACTCAATCAGGATGAAAACAGATGCCTGATGTCCTAATGTGGAACAARCAAAGCAGACACTCAGGATTTGTGTCCCAAAATTGCTGAAGAGGGASTTAATCAAATTAACAGATAATGTCATAACATCCTCAGCCTTTGGAACACCACGACAAGGTCATAAATTACATCAAACACAACAGCAAACGCTAAACTGAGGCAAAAAGCCATTACCTGAAAGCACCATCCATCTCTGACCATTTCCAAGAGGTTTTCTGAGCTCTCAGAAGTCAAAATACATTTTAGCTACCATGAAAAATGAGAAGCAGCTCAAAGATCTCCTCCTGATCTCAGAGCTGAACAGCCAGGACAGCGTTCACCACACAGGAGGTGCCTTTTGACAGGAGTGGGGTGTGATAAAGTGGGGTAAACCCCCACATTTCAACTGAGTCACCAGAAAACGCTGCAGAAAAGCTTTGACAGCTGAACAGGAGAGGTTTGGAGGTGAATTSCTGCTGTGTTTTAAGTTCTCCTCCTTGAAGAGGGAGGTGAGGGTGTGTGGAGRCCAAAAATGGCATTGTAGCCTTASAGGTGCTGAATCTGAAATTGAGATTTACTGATAATGGTGAATCCCTGAGACCTGGGAAACAGAAGGGACTTTAACAACCTGCATGGAGGAGGATGCTGCCATAAACAACACAACCTTCGCTGCCTCTGGGAAAGGGAGAATGGAATGTTGATCCCATAAAACAGATACCCAAAAAAAATCAAAACATTAACGACACTGCAGCTTTTGAAAACACACCAATCATGTGCTGATGAGTAGAAAAGCAGCTGCTTTACTACCAATGTATGTTTGCAATAAATGAGGAAGACTTAATACACACTTTATTTGTGCTAAATAGATAAAAGGAGCTCAGCCCCATAATAAAGTTGTTGTAGTAGTTGCTGTCGTAGTTGTATTTGATGACCAAACATAAACAGATCAAAAGAAATTAAGCAAAAAGCAGAAAGGAGACAGATTTGCAACCTGAGAGCTATAGAGGAAGAAAAAAAAATCCATTCCAACTTTTCAATATGAAAAGCCTGGCTATCTGTGTCTGTTATTTCACGTTGCAGTGTCCCAACAGGGACAAGGCTGTCATCCCCAACCTGGCTGCCATCAGAAGGAGAAGAAGGTAAACACCAACACCTCTGTCTGAAGGAGGAAGGATGGAGCAGAAACCTCCCAGCCCCTCCTCATGAAGTCTCTGCAAAAGCCCAGAGTCACAGAATGGTCTGGGTTAGGGGRGATCTGATAATTCACCCCATTCCACCATCCCASRYTGCTCCAAGCCSCATCCAACCTGGYCTTGGACATTGCCAGGGATGGGAAACCTGTGACAGGACCAGCAACAAATCCCTCTCCACCTTCTCCACTTCAAGCCAAGAATCACTGTACTGAAATCTGAACAACCACAAAAGCACCTACAGAAACATAATTTGACTCCATGACCTGTGTGGGTCCCTTCCAACTCAGCTTATTGTGTGATAATTCTGGTGGAAAGRGGTTTCTCAAAGTCATGGAACTGCTTTTTTTGTCATCATCTTAGATGTAAAAACAGCAAAACGTGGGCCAACTTCTGATTTCACCTAAGATTTAATTAATTTTTAGTATCCACACGTTTTTCTCTCTACACAACGAATGTAATAATAATTWAAAAAAAAATTACACCAAGCTTAAAATACCGTGTTTGGTATTAGAACTTCCCTCAAAAGACACTCAAYATCGTGATGAGAGCTGGAACGTGTCACCCCCCACACTGACTCACACCAAAAACGTCACCAGCAAATCTTCCCCCAGCAGCACGAGGGGCAGAGTGGTGGCACTGTGGTTGCTCAGGAAACCACCTCCCTGGAATGTGCTGAAATTTGCCTGAAGCCTTAAAATAAACATTTTGATACCGAGAGAAATTTCACCTCTCGGCATCTCAAATTGAAATCATCATTCCTATACATGCAGAGTAGATAATGTTCCCTTTTCTTTGCTGTTTAGTGTTTGAAACTGCTTTCAAGTGCATAATTAATTACATTTTTTTGTCAGGGATYGCATTACAAACCACTCCACCTCCACTCCACTGCCAGGCAGATCATCAGCCTGTTTTTTTTTTCTTTCTTCCAACTCACACCATTATTCTTGGAAACGCTGGGGATTTAGCACCGTGTGTGATATCCTTCACAAGATGCACACGTTTAGAACAGGGTTAATGTGAGCCTCAAAGAATAAAGGAGTTACATTTCCTTGGTAAACTGATTGCAGGCAGTGCCTGAAGCTTTGCCCTTACCCAGAGCAGGATCATCCTCTCTTCCTGCACCTTCCCATCAGGAGCTGGATGCTGTATTCCCTTTGGTCCCTGAGCTGACCACAACTAACTAATTAACTAACTAACTGACTAACTAACTAACTAACTAACTAACTAACTAACTGACTAACTAACTAACCAACCAATTAACCAACCAACCAACCAATTAACCACTAACTAACCAACCAACCAACTTTGTTTTTTTTCTTTTTCTTTTCTTTCTTCCTCTCTCTTTGTCTCTCTCTCCTTCTCTTTCTCTCTCTCTTTTTCTCTATTTCCTTTCTCACTCTCTTCCTTTCTCTTTTTCTCTTTCTCTCATTCCTTCTTTCTCTCTGTTTCTCTTTCTCTCTTTCTCTTGTTCTCTTTCTTTCTCTCTTCCTTTCTTTCTTTCTCTCTCTTGTTCTTTCTCTCCTCTCTTTCTCTCTTATCTTTTTCTTTTTCCTTCTCTCTTTTTCCTCTTTCTCTCTTTCACTCTTTTTTCTTCCTCCCTCCCCTTCCTTCCTTCCTTCCTTCCTTCCTTCCTTCCTTCCTTCCTTCCTTCCTTCCTTCCTTCCTTCCTTCCTTCCTTCCTTCCTTCCTTCCTTCCT